TCATATGTTGCGCGGGTAGTGGGTTATCACTGCGCGGCCACTCCATGAAACTGGGGAGGCACCTTCACAGATTGAGCGCCCGGGAATACTGTTCCTCGGTACGTGTATGTCGCCTTTGGACCTAACTGCCAACGAGAGTAGTCCCGGCTAAAAGTGAACAGTCGTTCAAAAAGATACTTGACCCATACATAGCCGAACAGTACCCGGGCGCTCCCTCGGACATACCGTTACTGGGAATCGGAATGACCGTAACCTGGGACATCTGAGCATCGGCTTTTGCTTGTCGTGTATTGTGTACGTTTTCAGATGAGACGTGGATATGTGACCCCGTCAATTCTATCTTTACTCTGTTCTCACTGATACCAGAGTTGCATTCTGCTAACAAAGCCGGACAGCTGGTTACTTGGTATGTATCACGAAGGTTTATAAGAGAGCACGCAACAGAGCACACTCTCTTCAAAGGGAGGCGAACTATGACCATGAAAAAAGTTAGCGCAAAACGTAAGGCATAACCTGAAAATATTTTGTGCAAACATGCAGATGAACAAGAACACTAAGGAGGGAGTAAGTACACTGGAGGGAACGGAAGGTGTATTGGCCACCACCGACTAGGAAAAGGCCAGTGCACTCCCTACGTTTTTTCCAAGGAATTTATCGGCCACCAAAAGCAGAACATACGGTGGATTGCAGCCTGAATAGAATAGGGGAGCCCATCCTCTGTGAAAACGACGTGATCGCAGAGCTCAACGCCTTAAATAGGCAAAGGGCAGCAGGACCCGATGGATTGGGTCCCGCCGTGATTCAGCCTCTAGTAAGTGCATTAGCGGGACCGGTGAGTAAGTTATTTAAGGAGTCCATCGGTACTTGCAGTCTACCGGAGGACTAGAAAACTGGAATTGTGGTGGCCACACACAATTCAGCCCCCAAACACAAGGTTTGCAACTATAGGCCCGTGAGTTTCACTTTGGTCTTCTGCAAGTGTCTCGAGTGGATCTTCAGGAAGCAGATATCCTCTCACCTGAGGCCAAATGAGCTTCTGATTCAAACCCAGCATGGGTTCGTTTAGAAACGATCTTGCCTGACTGATCTGCTGGCATTTCTAGACGGAGTGACAAAAACAATAGATGCGGGTCGCCAGGTGGAGGTTTGCTATTTAGATTTCAAGAAGGCTTTTGACTCTGTCAGTCATCAGCTTCTGGAACTAAAATTACAGATACAGGGGATTCTGATTAGGGCAAGAGAATGGATTAAACAGTTTCTGAAATGTTGCACATTCAGTGTGAGTTGGAAATTATACAACCAAACCTGAGAGAATATCGAGTGGTGTCCCAAAGGAATCGGTGTCGCGTTCGTTATTATTTTTAATCTTTATTAGCGATCTTTGCGAAGGATCTCCAAAATCCCTGCTTCAAATTCGCCGATGATGTGAAGTTAGATGGGGAAGGATTAGAACAAGTTCGAAGGTGGTCATATAAATGGGATCTACAACTGAATTTCGGTAATTGTCAGCTCTTGATCACTAGAGCTCATGATGACACGAGAGGTGTGATGCATTTGCAGCATGTCTCTGAGGCAAAGGATCTAGAGGTAATTATTATAAATGACTTTAGACCATTCGTTCATCTAGAATACTGCGTAAAAGCATGGAAGCCGTATTTTAAACGGGATCAACGATGTTTTGAGAAAGTGCAGCGTTAGCAACCAAAATGGTGGCAGTACAGAAAGGTGAGGTATACCTCCAGCGACTGATGGACTTGAACCCAATCTTCCTGGTCCGCAGACTACTGCGGGGCGACCTTAAAGAGACATTTAAAGTTGTCAAAGGGCTTTCGGGTCCAAGGTTCGAAAACTTTTATTCGTTAGGTCCTGCCAGGGTCACGAAGGGACACCAACTTAGACTGAAAAGAACTTAATGTAGAATAAATCTACGGGCTAGGTTCTTCAAAAGCAGGGTTATACCACTGTGAAATAAATTACCTGAAGAGATGATCAACTATATTAGTGTTGAATCTTTCAAGAGAAAGCTAGAAAAAAGGTGGATGTATTTCATGCTGAATTTTTGAAAATCCTTCCGAACCCATAATGATTTATGGTGAAATAGCTTTATCTGTGTGTTGCTCTTATATTGACATTTCTCGATCACAAACACCATGCATCATTATTTATCTGTTAATTCGATACCCGGCATAGATGTAGATTCAGATATGAAGGATATTTATATAATAGATTGCGGGTTTCTGAGTTAGAGCATGAGTTGAGATTAGCTGGTCAGCAGATAGAGCAGGCCAAACGTGAAAAAAACGATTTCAAGGACACAACGGAATCCAATTTGAAGTGCCGTTACCCTGGCGAATGGGATCCAATCGACTGCCAGACAATCGAGAAATAGCACTCCACAGGCTCAAATACCTGAAGGATCGATTGAAGAGGAACGCGCAGTTGAAGGAAGCCTACTGTAACGCCATGAAACGCAATCTAGAGTTGGGATATGTTGAACGCGCAATGGGAGCAATCGAGAAGGAGCAACCATTGTGGTACCTTCCGCCCCACCCTGTCATAAACCCCAAGAAACCTCGGAAGATCCGGGTTGTCTTCGATTGTGCTGCCAAGTGTGCCGGGATTGCCCTAAATGGCCGTCTATTACAAGGCCCAGACCTGACTATTCCACTGATTGAGGTGCTGTGCAGACTCCGGCTGGGGTTAGTTCCAGTAGCGGCTGATATGGAGGAGATTTTCATGCAGGTCAAAGTCCCCGACGGGCAAAGGGACACTCTGCGGTTGTGGTGGTGGCCGGATGGAGACCTAGACGGACCTGCCCAAGAGTATCGGATGACGGTGCACCCGTTTGGCGCGATATCTTTTCCTTTCTGTATAAACTTTGCGTTAAAAACGATCGTGAACAAATTTGCTCAGCATNATCTATCAAAGTTACTGCTCATGGGAGGGTTCAAGTTGACCAAGTGGATGTCCAACAGTCGTCATGCAATCGATTGTATCCCAGTTGACGAGCTGGCGCCGAGTCTCCGTGAAATGCATAGGAGTCCGTTACCGACAGATAGCACTTGGTGTGCAATGGGACTCGGAGAAGGACGAGTTCTTTTTCCAACTCCAGTCACCTGAGA